CCGAACATCACCATGTAAATCATTTAATATTCGCTGGACCGATAACTGATGTAGCTTTGCTACAGTTGACAGATGAACAAGGACATTGCCATCGATGTCAAAAGGGGAAGCGTCTAAAACCGCCGAAGCACGATTTTGTCTCTGTCGATGCCTAAATGGAATTTCACCATGATGATAAGAGCAATGGGGTAATTTTCGTATTGCAGCATTTCGTTCTGACATTTGTATCTGAAACCAAAACGAAAAGACTTCCAATACGTCGACATAAACTATTCAAGAACCTCTGCGACCAATTCATATCTCTTGAAAAAAAATTCCGTTTTGTTTTAAGTCGACGTAGATCACTTGGCGTTTATGTCGACCTAAACTTGAATGAAAATCAAAAAATCCAACATTTTCATCGAATCTCTCCATTTTCGGAAATTTCCGTTTTGGTTTAAGTCGACATGGATCACTTGGCGTTTATGTCGACTTAAACTTAAGCTTAGAAGAACGCAATGGTTCGCAGAATCGATTAACTTCTTCGTTTTGCAGATATTTTCGTTTCGTTTAACGCGTTGTGGGTCAACAGACGTGTGTAGCTGCATAAACTTAAATTGGAAAGGACGCAGGAGTGGCTTTTGAGACATTTGTTTTGGTTCGGGCGACGTGGGTCAACAAGCGCTAACCAGAGAAAGTGTGTTATGTTATTTTCTCGAGTCTGAGACTTGCAGTCAACGTCCTGTCATTCTGTTCGGAAGACCATTTCAGATATAAAGGTGTGATTAAAAAGTGAATTTTTTTTCGCGTGTGTATGTGAAGCTCAGTTTTCTACAGCAAAACAAATTAGCGTGATTGGTAGTATAAATTTTATTATTCTCTATGTGCAACAGTAAGAAAAAAAAGACGTTTGTAGCGTAGCATAAAAACTTTTATAAAAACACCGTACAAAGAAAACAGTATGACGTTAAACAGCCTGGTATCTTTCTGGTACGTGGCGATTTCTTCTTCCGATAACATTTTCATTATGAGACATTGAATCTTTTAATGTATTAAGATCACGATCGCCACTAAATGAAAAAGAAAAACAATAGAGATGAAGTGAAAGATACTTCTCGTAATACCGTAATCGTTTCCGTTGTACTATGGTTGTTAAATTTTCCTTTGTTGGGAAATTTTTTTAATTTTTTAATTTTTGTTTTGTGATGGTATTGCTGCTGTTGTTCGTTTATCTTCAAGGAAACAAAAAGAACTTATCATCATTATAGGAAGGAAATACTGTATATGATTTGATATTTACTTTTTTCTTCGTTTTCTTCTTCTACTTGTTCTTTATCATCATCTGTTCGTTGTTGAGGTATTGTTGTTGTTCGTTCATCTGAAAGAAAACAAAAAGAACATATCATCATTATAGGAAAGAAATACTGTATGTGATTTGATATTTACTTTTTTCTTCGTTTTCTTCTTCTACTTTTTCTTTATCATCACCTTACGTTGTTGACGGCTCATCTGGAAAACATCAGTAATTTACTATGCATCTTTGTTCTAATTAGCTGTATTAGTCTTACATTGATCATTACTCATTTTATGCTGTTCATTATCTTTACTTTCTTTTTGTTCTTCAACTTCATCATCATTAAAATTAAAATCATATCATAAACAGAAAAGTCATAGTTCGGTGCTTACTTCATATCATCATCATCTTCAACACCTTTTACCAATGGACAACTAAAACAAGAATCACAAGAAATCATCCGACACTTCTCAAGAAACAAGATTAAACCTACATCAAATTTATTGTATGTCGTACACGTTCTTTTGCAATATAGAAAAATTGATTCAATTGTGTATGCCAAAAATTAATTGATTCAAATCTGCCATTTTCTAAATAATAATTTATGAAAAAATTTGTACATTTTTCAATTTCTTCTTCACGTGTCAATATTTGACGAGGGAACGTTTCCAAGTGTTTAATCGCTTTTCGATTGATATTATATTCATTGCATAGGAGCTGTTGAGGAAGTAAAAGTCTATCTTGGTTCGCTTGACTGGGCCTTTGGGGCTGAGTTATAGCCGACGCAAGAATAATTTTTTGGCTGAAATTTTGTCCCTGGGTGTACCTCGTATTTTACCAATTTCGGACATACAGTTAGAGAGAAACACAACTATCCTTACATGAAAAGATAGAGAAAAAAATTCTCTATCTGCTACAGCTTGAACGGAGTTCAGAAAAAAAGCTTATAATTTCATTTGAGGCTGAATAATCTTTTTGAGACAGCCTTTTTTTGTACTCTGACGGCTTTCAGTCGTATTATTATGATGTCAGTAAAATTTAAATATATGTTTTATACATAGTTCGATAGAGAATTGCAAGCTCTACAACTTTTCTATGGACCATATCTGTCGATCTTGCTTTTTTGAAAAGATAGAAGCTGCTTTCGGCTGTTCCCCAGGGAGGATCCACCATGGGACCAACCATGTTTGCTAGGGAACATTTATCGATTTTCGATTTCTAGTAATATTTCTAGCACATTTATGAGCGTCGTTATCGATTTAGGATTATTTGGTTTCTCTCACCAATTTTTATTTTTCAAAGATGAGACGCGAAGCAAACGTATATACATGAGAAGTAAGGTAAACAACAGAGAGCTCTCGTCATGTAACACTTGAATGGTAATCAGTGAAAGTGATACTTCGTATAGAAATAATGAATGTGTACGAATGTTATATAACATTTCCTGCTTCGACTTCGCCCATTCACGTCTCCTTCGAAGCCGAAGTCGTCGAACATCTCTTCGATGTCCTTGAGTCGATTCTGACTAGCCATTCCTACTCATTCGACCACGAAACGACACCCGACCACAGCAGTTTCGACGATGAGTTCGATGGCTGCGAGGAAGAAGCAGACAATCCGATCACCGATCCTGACTATGAAGAACCAGCCGAAGGCGCTCCCAAGTTTGAAAACCTTCCTCTCAATTATTTAAAACTCGCTCTGGCGTACTACGACGCGAAAGATGCCCAAGGCTATCGCAAACACACGTGGAGGGGAACCAAGAGTCGCTTTCCTCGAATCGCTTTTCAACAGCAAATGGTCCGCTTTCGAAAATACGTCGAGAAGTCCGAAAGCAAACGGCAAAAGGTCGATGTCGTCGACGATGCTGTCTTCGATCAATTTGAGCATGCCCGAGAGCTCTTCTTGCCCGTCCACGATCGAGACTCAAAACGATGGGCTCATTAAAAGGCTATGGCCATAGATTTCCACGAATTTCTGGCGTCGGACACATGGATGCTCCATTTTAGACGACACCATAATATTTGCTCACGCAAGGTGACCAAGGTGAGGAAAAGTGGTAACTGCGAGAGAATTCCCATCGAGTAATGAGTCTTTCAATCGAATTCTGAAATCAACAGTTGAATGTTGGTGATTATCGCTTAAGAGCATAGTCTTTGGCGATCTCTATCATGACGCCCAACATTTCATGACAGAATTACTTAACAAAGTTAAATGTTCCTATAGGATTAATGATCGAATGAAAGACTTGCTGGATTGCAGTGTCTAGATTTCTACATGGATTGTTCATATGCAATATTGCGGTAAAAGAATGATAAATATGCTTGCGGTTTCCACGGATTTACCATGCTAAACTGTTTTGGAAAAGGCTCTTGAGAGTATAATTTCATTGATATAAAATGAATATATTGAATAGGTCATCACAAAGCGCGAAGTGGCCAATACAGAAGAGATTCGAAAGTCAGCAGATGCGTTCGTCGACAAACTGCGCGCGGTGCTACTCAGGTATGACGCCGATCACGTGTTGAACACCGACCAGCCCGGTCTGGAGATCGAGATGCATTCCAGTCGGACGTTGAGTTACCAGGGCGAACACACTACCATGGCCACCGTTCGGTCGACCAATGAGACGACGCACTCGTACACAGTCCTGCCGACGATCAGTCTTAGCGGGAAGGTCGTCGGTCCGATTTACTTGTGTCTGAAGGAGCCACAAGGTCACATGAGTGACCGGATCAAAGCAAAGCTCTTCAATGCTAAGAATGTCGTCGTCACCTGTTCAGCCTCGGGCAAATTCACTACTTCGCTAGTTTCTAGATCGATTTATTTAGCTTTATGTGTAAATAAATTACTTATGAGTTAGTTTAGTGAACGGTTGTTTCTTCTTGTTTCTGCATAATACGAGTGCGTTTCCTAGGTTTTTGCTAAAGTGTTTACCTATGGTGACGGAAACATCTTTTAGTTTCGAAAAAAAAAAATCTAAATATAAGGCTTTGTAGCGGAGGAAAAACTCTACAAAACAGGACTCATGCCTGTTTCTCACTCAGCGCATTTTTACTCAAATATGCACTTCAGTTGCAAAAAGATGTCATAACTTGGCGGTTTACCATAGGTATTATATATAAGGTAGTGAACACTTCTAAAATAGCCTATTCGATGCAGTTTTATTTTTAGATTATAAATATGGCACTAGTTTTCATTAGAAGCGGGAAATATGTGAAAAAAATTGACTTTTAGTGACACTGGACCCAAATGATGCAGGCATGTCGAACAAAATTTCTTCTCAGTGGCTAGAACAAAAACTTTCCGAATTATTTTATGTGCCATAGATAGACTGTATTCGCGTGCAGTTTTTAAGAGTAAAAATGGAATGGAATTCACGTAAAAAGCAGAAAATTTTCTGTGTGATTGATGGTTCCAGCAAAACTGAACAAATTTAAGAATTCATAGTTGTTCAACAAAAGGTTTCTGACAAATGAAAAGCAGTAATCGATGCAGTTTTTCATACCGCAACTAATGATATACTTTTAATCTCATTTTGAAATAGGCGAATTTCCACTAAAGAGCAGCGGGATCCTTTAAAACCGAATATACATCAACTGGTGTTAAATATACATATCGATGTGCGTCATATAAAAAATTTCCTTCGTGCGCTATGCAGCCACAAGCAAAACAATTGAGCATGATCAGTGTCGATACATTTGAAATATCCAAATTCAGTAAACACGATCCTAACAAACGAGCGTTGACAACACGCGCTCCAGCATCTATTCTATGATGAACCTATTCTATGCTCTATTATTTCACCATCAAAAAGCACTGAAAACACGATTGCAGTCGTTACCGGTTAACCATTTTTTAATCGCTTCAACGTACGAAAATATTGGTGAAGCCTATGTAAAAGGATCGTTTTTAAAAACGAGTTGTTCTACTGATGACACATAGATCATGGAAAAAGAAAAAGATGCAGATATAAATACGCAAATAAAGCTGTTAGAAAGAAAGTTAACTGTCGATATAATATTCCGCTTAGTTTGTCAGTTTTGAATTAAATTAGACTAGACATTTTTATCTGACGACGAATCTCACACTCGACAAGCGGAGTAATTCCATTATCCTCACCTTATTTTACACCTTAAGATTATTAACCTTTGTATAGATAGAGGTCGAATCTCTACAGGAACTTTCTCTTTTTCGTTTTACTTTTCCGCTTTGCCTTCTCTTTCTATATATACCGCTGCAACTACTGTCCATCCCAAAATATAATGCTAGAGACGTTTCTTATTGCCTCATTCAAAAAGGCTTAAAAGCTTCTCATTTGAACATATATCCGATGACGAAAAAGTTGTAGAACTAATTCACCACGAATACTTGGAAGGACAGTTCGTGGTGCGAAAATCACCTTTCTCTCAACTCTTTCTGCTCAGTTAATAATGTTGACATCATCTTCTGCGCTCTCTCTCTCTTTCTCTAGACTAATGAACGATACATACTGGCTTAGATTTTTTGTAGTGTAAAATATACAATGTTTTCCGTAGTAAAAGAATTCAGAAACAATGTCAGTCTAAGTGTCATTAGGCTATCACGGTTGTATAAATATGTTCAGGTTTATCTTTAGTATGTTCTGGGTGATGATTATCAAAAAATATTACGGAACGGTACAAAGAAATTTTCTGTATAGGCTTCAGCTGTTTTCACCTTCCTGTTAAAATCTAAAACAAACAAAAAGCCTCACTGTTCTTACTAAAATCCTCATGAAATACATGCAGCAGCTACTTCGTATGTCACGATTTTGATTCAATGAACTATTTCTCTTAGCTGGTGAGCTTTAAATCGAGTGAGAAAGATCATAATGAAATTTATGGAAAAGTCTAGATTTTAAAAGTTTTTTAAATAATCTATTTAAATGTGAAACTCGACTTAATAATTATATTTAAATATTTTACAACCGCTTTATGTAGTTACTAGAGACTCAGACAAAATTCATTTCTGAAAGAATCAAAAGAAGATACCACGACCGGTTTCGACCTTTCTCAAAGGTCTCGTCAGGTGGTTTCCTTCGAGAAAGACAGAGTGAAGGCACGACAAGCAACACAACTCCGTCCACACCGTATTAGGGTGTTATTATTCCTTCTTCTTATCGAACAAAGAACGATAACCTTCACACGACGAGAGCGAAGCACGATATCACTGTACAATGCACATGTTCTGCTTCTCTACTTAAGTATTTCTTTCTATTCTAATGGACGGAGTGATCTTTCTCACTCTAGACTAAAAATCTAGACTTTTCCATAAATTTCATTATGATCTTTCTCACTCGATTTAAAGCTCACCAGCTAAGAGAAATAGTTCATTGAATCAAAATCGTGACATACGAAGTAGCTGCTGCATGTATTTCATGAGGATTTTAGTAAGAACAGTGAGGCTTTTTGTTTGTTTTAGATTTTAACAGGAAGGTGAAAACAGCTGAAGCCTATACAGAAAATTTATTACATTAATTTTACATTAATAAAACGAATAAAAGGTGCTTGTAATAATTGAAATAAAAGTTGAATAAAATATCAAAATAGTCTGATACGACCAATTGCATTTTAATACTCATCGTTAGATCTATAACGGTGGGTATGAATGAAAACTTGTGTGTTAAAAGTCTGTCAAATAACAATTTCTTTCTCTTTTATTTCTTTGTACCGTTCCGTAATATTTTTTGATAATCATTACCCAGAACATACTAAAGATAAACCTGAACATATTTATACAACCGTGATAGCCTAATGACACTCAATTTCCAACTTTCTTTTATGATCAGGAAAGCTTCTTCGAACGGTATAAGCAACGTAAACGCGCCCTCGGAGAAACATACAGGCAAACAAAAGAGAAGAGCTTCTAAAGTATTGAAGTAAAAGCAACCAACAACCAAGAAATTCCCTAGACTGAAAGGATAGGGTCTGTCAGACGGTAGAGAAAGCTTTTTTTCGGTGTTTGGATCGGTGACGTCTTTGCTTGGGTCGGTGACCTCTATGTTTGGATCGGTGACAGAGGTTGTTTGAGAGTCAATCGAGATCTCTGTTACGTTAGATGGAAACAAATCTCTCTTTCTCTCTTGATTGATCACTTTCGCGCCTTTTGGATTTCTTGCTCTTTCGAACATCGAGTCTTGCAAATGACCGATTTTGTTTCTCTGTCTGTCGAGAAAACGGCTTTGAAACCGTGATCTGTTTCTTTGTTGATCGTTGATTCTACTTAAATTGTTTAAAAGTCTTTCTCGTTTGGTTGTTTTTATGTTTTTTCAGGAGCGTGTTTACGCGGCTAATACCCTTCGAAGAAGCTTTCCTGGGCATGAAAGAAAGTTGGAAATTCAGCTTTGAAATATACTACAAAGCATACATATATATATATATCTAGTTCCATGAGGATTCCAGGATTTCAGGGATTTTTTACATACTGGCTTAGATTTTTTGTAGTGTAAAATATACAATGTTTTCCGTAGTAAAAGAATTCAGAAACAATGTGTTTAATTGCATCGCAATAGAGTTGAAATCCCTGGTCGATCTTGAAAGGAAAAAAACACCATCCACTAATAAAGGTTAGGTTAAAGCTCAGTCTAGGGACGAGTGAATCGGAAGCAGATGTCCATTATTCGTTCTCTTGCTCGTTCGAATATTGAATGCTGCGAATAATGATTCGTGTTCACTGCGTCTCTCTGTCTGTCTAGAATACGATATTGAGACCTCAATCCATCTCTTGCTTGATCGTTGATTTTATCTCAATGGGTGAAAGGGTCTTCATCGTCTTTATGTTTGGCTAGCGGAGTGTTCACCTAGCGCATACCGTTCGAAGAAGCTTTCCTAGTTTTGAAAGAAGGTTGGATATTGAGAGTTGAAATCTTTTATCGATCTCGAAAGGGAAAAAGTCCATCTACTGATAAAGGTTTAACTAAAGTTCAGTCTAGGGAATACTTCAGCATGGTTCGGAATAGAAACGCATCGCACGGTGCTCTGAATCTTTCAGTTGTAAACTTACAACCTCATACCCCTCACCCCGTGCACATATCTCTCATCTAATCGTTAGTTTGAGATGGAAAATAGTTGCTATAATGTGAAAACACTTTTATAAACTTGATGATAAACGTGAGTTGAAAGTTTGCAATAACATGAAGAACAAAATTTCGAAAACAGTTATTCAAGCTTCTTTGATAAGTATACCATAGGGTCGAATATGCTGAGGATCTTTTACGACCCATATAGCTGCGCTTCCAACTGTCACGCCATCAGGATTCACAGCCACTTGAAACATACACTTAAAGTTTTTCTTTCCCTGTTGGGTCTCTAATTCAACAGGTCGGACATATCCACCTTCAGGAAACTTTGGATCTGGAGAACAATAAACACCAGGTCCATATCTACCAGTTGCAGATGGCGCAAATCCGCCTACATAGATATCTGCAATAGCCGATACACAGACGTGCTCACAGTCTTTACGTATATTTTCATCACGTATATATTGCGCTTGTGCATTTCCGGTACCGTGAAAAGCTCTATACCAATTCCCGGCATGCCCAAATGGATGCAGCCAATCGTCGTTGCCGTATTTACCCAACACTTTTAGCCCATACCTAGTCCAGCCAGCCGCTGTGGTGTATAGTTTGGTGCGTCCAGGTGGACCAATTTGGTGAGTCTCTGGTTGGCTGCTAAACGTTTTATTACCACGGGCATCAAAAAAGGATATATCGAATGATGGACGAAATAACAATGGATGAATTTTTGCACTCACGAATTGAGCAAATTGAGTTTTTAACTTTGTTGCAATGGCTATGAACTTGTTCACTGCGGTTTGCGCCATATTTAATACTGTGTAAACTATATTGAATGTTCCAACGAACACATTTTTTATAGCGATAGAGTTTTTATCAATTTCATGTGCTTTTGCTAACCGATCACGTATGTCTTCAATAACTGGATGTGATTTGTTTTGTTCAATGAAATTTTTCAATGTATCAACAAGTTTTACGTCATCCTCGTCAGTTTTCTTACTCTGGTCACCTCCTAAACCTTCACTACTCTTCAATTTCAATACGAACAGTTTGTCTGCAGAGCCAATATCAGCTAAACTTCCAGAGGCATCACGCAGATGGATGCCACTTGTAGAATCATAAAATAAGCATTGTTGACCTTGATTTCCCAGCAACTTATTTAGAATATGGCATGCAGTATCTCTTTCAGTCACGTTCCCCGATGGTTTTGTATTTAATATTGATTTGGTGAATTCCTCAGCTTTTTTAATGTCAGGGTGGGTTACATTAGTAACAGCATCGATATCCGGAAAATTCTCATAGTATGCTTTTAATACAGCTTGCTTTTCCAGCATTTGACGACGGAATGGATCAACAGCAGCTTCAACTGGAACTGAAATATGTCGCAGTGACAAGATTACGGTGTAGGTGTAGCTTTGGGTCAGAGTCAGTATTATTTTCTCATGCACACCCACCATCGACCACACCCGATAACATTAAAAAAGGCAAGATAAGCTACTTACCGATCACAGACACTCGACAGTTCCTTGATTTAAGTGATCCAGCCATATTTTCTATTTTGGCTGAGTATTCTCCTTGGTGTTGCGGTTGAACATTTGCGATAGTTAATGTATGAGTGCCGTCGCTATCATCAGAGGGTAGTGTTACGCGCACATATTTATCTAGTGCCAGCTCGTCATTCTCTCGCATCCAGGCTATTTTAGGTTTCGGAGTCCCAGAGATGACCAGCTTGAGAGTCATCGTTTGGCCACTTGTGACTTGTATTTGTGCTCCTAGATCGGTTATGATAACTGGTTTGATACCAACAATAGCCAATGACATGTTTGCTGCGACCTCTCCGACACTATTATTTGCTCGAGCGGTATAGACGCCCTCGTCGCTGAATTGTGTTTTGCGAATGGTCAGAGTCGATCTGTCATCATTGCTTTCAGTCATCTGGAATCGATCGTTTCGCACCAATGCTTGTCCATTGAAGTACCACGTAACCTGAGGCTTCTCGAAGCCGCTGAATTTCCACGACATTTCAGTATCTTGACCAATCACACACGATTGTTTATTCACTGGACTTAACCCTACAACCTCGGGTTTCACTTGAAACAAGAGAGCATAATTAGTATTACATTATGGATAAATGTGAAGTCATTTACTTCTAACATTGAGCATGACTCGCTGTTCCATTCGATCAATTCCATTGTCAGCAATTACACGATAGTCACCAGCATCTTGGATGGCGCATTTTTTAACTGTTAGCTCGAAAACATTTTGTTTGGATTCGATTTTATGCTTGATACCAGGTGTTAGCTCGACATTGTTGAAAAACCTTTCGGATGGACATAAAAACAATGAACATGTTTAGAGATAATACAGAAGAGATACCATGCAACTTTAGGCGTTGGATATGCTTCGCATGCTAGTGTGAGTACTCCATCTTGACCAACAAGAACATTTGTGTCGCACAATGGTTTTGTGATTTCTGGTGGAACTAAAGAAATAAGGTAAGTTATTACGGTACGATTTTTTTAATTGTTGAAGCGTTTAAAAAAGTAACGATGGTAGCTTGATTCACTTAGTGCTTGGGAAGTATCAGCCACTTTCTGCAGCGCTTCCCAAAGAAAAGGGTGACCCCTCCTTCCAACATTTCAAAATTGATCAATTTGATTATATCTGTTTGTATTGGAAAATATGTGACATACGGTGAGAAAAATACAACAATGTTCGAATGTCTTTGGATTCTGCATCAACCAATCAGACATGAGACTGAGATCCCTGTTCTTTTCTATTCCATGTTCTATCGATCATCGGCATCGATGGATATGCGGCTGGTCTGATGTGTAAAGACCTGTACATATTCAAATAGCTTGATTACTGCCTTCATAAGAATAAGAGATGATGGTCGATTTTTGTCAATTAATATTTGAATGTTGGTTGGCTTATATTTGAGATAAATTTTGATCTATTAACGTTTTC